AACTTGTTTAACCTTGTCCCAGTGCAATACCACGGTCCACGAAGTAGTGGTAAATAAATCTTCTAAAGTCATGTAAAAACGTCAGAACAAAAGAATAAAGAATAGCAAGTCTTGACTATTTTCAGAAGCAAGTTATTATTGGCGTAATGGGCAAAACAATTGTTGAAACTGAATAAATGGACCACTGAAAAGCATCGATCACACCAGACGTTCATCAAAGGTTAAAGCATGTCCTGCCCTACCGACAGCAGCCGCCATTCGCACACTTGAACTAAAATAGTATTTACAGCCATTCGTCACCACTTGCTCTTTCCGTAGCCTCCAAGAAGACTTGCTCCCTCCTCGATGCATGTAAATACGACAAACCAGTCAGAATGTGCTTAAGGATTGAGGTAATTTCATAAACATGATCCAAAGTAATTTAAATCGGTTATGGCATTTTGTGATTGCTTAAATGATCGTTAAAAAAACATACGTCGTTATGTTGACCTTATATAGAGCATAGCTAACAGAATTGTGTTGTCTAATTTGATGTTTACATTTCAAGTCACTGGGGTGCTTTTACTCGGCGTATTCATTTCAATTTCACCAGTTGTATGGCAACAATGTTAAACATGCAAGTTTAGGCAACTAGTAGACATCCTGTAAATTAAATCATGTTTGGACTCGACGATTTCGTCAGTTTGAGGTTATTTCAAACGTATTTTGTGTATTATTTTGGGAAATATAACAGCTGAAATAAAATGCTATTTTAACTGCCTATTTATGAAAGAAATCCCATTTGCGATTGTTAAAACCGTATTTAGAAATATACACTTGGAATTGTAAAATGAACAGGTGGAAATAATTACGTTAGAATATGGTTTCAACAGTCATCATCACTGTGATTATTTAAAAAGGTTCAAATATTTTAAAAGCAGTTACCTTCGAGTGCTTCCAGTAATGTTTAGTATTGTTGGAATATAACAGAAATAGAGTTGTCGTTCTTGTTTGAAGTAGTTCTGATGTTCATACGCCAATAATATCAAATCCTTCCAGAAGGGGAAATGAGTTGGTATTCGCCTTCCCCGAGTTGGTCACGAATGATTCACAGCCTGACGCCACACAGTAAACACCCCTGCCATGGAATGGCGACCCACAAACAATCAAAGCAACCAAGTCATCTGGAGTTCTTTCTGTTCTTGTATCTATGTCTGTGGTGGCGATTTCGAATGACAGAACCATATACAATGCATTCATATTTTGGACTTTTAAAAGACTGAAAATCTCTTCATTTTTTGTTACATGGATGTGATTACATCTGTGTATACAACATTAGCATCCACATCCGATAATGTCAGCTGCGTTTATTTCTACTAGATGGATGGTATGCATTATCTAATGACCCACACTTCATGCAAAGGAATAGGAAATTTTGGCTAGAAATGTTTGTACACACAATGTTCATATCTTGTTAACACGTAGAGATCATCATAGCCAAAATACCACACGAGGATATACAACATTGATGACAAACAACTGCACAAACTTACATCTGCCAAGTCCTTAGATCCAACTAAGTGCTGTGCCTCATCTGTAATCGTATCATGATCCATTTCTGATAGGTGACAAGTGAGTGTCGAAATACCGTATTCAATAGATCGACAGAAGCCATTCTCAACACATTTGAGTTGGCATAACTTGATGCCTATGTTCTTGAAAACTAACGATCTATAGGTTGGCGTATTTGACAGTTGACAAATAGCCACATCAAATGTGAGGCACGTTATTAAAGTTAAGAACATGATCTCATCAATGACTGAATGCCACCTTGTCATCTTGCTGTTCACAGTGCTACAAAAGCTTACAACTGAAAATCTCAAGTCGATGTATTTGGAATTAAAAGAAATGTCGCTGACTAGAATTAAATATGCAACCCTTTCGCGACTATAATCTTTGTGTTTTCACATTTTGTCTAATGAGAGTAGCATAACAATTCGAAAGGAAATTAAATAGCTATTAGAGTGTTTTAGAGTTATATGTTGCTCCGTTAAGTAGCAATGAAAGGGATACAGTGCTTTTAATCCCTTATCTTTCTACTCTTGTGAAGATTTCAACTATTTCAACATAAAGGAAAGCAAAACAATCACTGATTTTGCATTAAGATAAACGAATTATTGTCAAATGTTTGTGATGTTAGATGTTGATAAACAACAGTCACTCCTTGATTTTTCAGAATAATAATCCTTCAGCTACTGTAGTTTGACCTGTTTTATGTAAGAGCAGATATAGAACTCAAACACATCATACTCCATATACACGATGCGTGTACGGTGCTGGACCTATATCTGAACTACATGTTTATGGTCTAAAGACCATTTCCGTAAAACAAATAGAAGCAGGGTTTCAAACTGCATTTACATCGTCAGATATCTATCTATAAGAATGGCAAATGATGATGAGACGGATGAACACAACTGTTAAAGCTGTTAAAGAAAATTAGAAAACAATCTTATAATTGTGTTAGGTAGTAAAAAGTTCTGTTTCCTGAAGAAGCCAGTACTTGAATGTAACATGACAGGAACGAGAACAAGCAATTCTTCTGACAATCATTGATGCACTTCATCCGTTCTTATGTTTAATAGTAATATATGCCATAACTTGATAGGGTGCAATCAACGACTGTAGAAGCCAAACGATATTTGCGCTCGTTTTTCCTTCTTTCATTACACGCTTGACATTCATATTGACCCACACCTGATGCTCCCAAATATAGTCCTGATGGACACTAAGGCATCACGGATCCTGATTAATCTATGAATACACAATGCCATCCAGAAAGTGGTTATAATTATATGTGATATGGCATATTTCCAATTACACTCTGTCGGTAGAGTACATATTCTGGTAGTTTTATTAAGTTGAATACCGGGCTTCAAACATAGACTCTTCTCAGAGTAAATCACCTAAAAGGAAGCTCTAATGGCTGAGCGGTTAGAACGCTGACGTTGTGTGCTGCCGGAGTAGGTGCCTGACTCATCTCAAAATTACAAAGAGTACAAAACTCAGCAGCCTCGCATTGTCAAAAAGTGTCCATTAGGAGAACATATATCCCCCAGTTTTACAAGGAGCCTTACACTGGCTGCCCATAAGAGCCAGAGTGGAGTATAAAATCCTGAGTTTAGGCTACCAGTTCTATCATGAAACTGATCCCTACACTACCCTCAATGAGTTGGTGACCAAACATGTTCCATCGAGAGCCTTACGATCCAGCTGATCAACATCTATTGGTCATCCCAAGGACGATTAACTAAAAGATTCTCGGTTAACGCTCCTTTAGTTATGGAGCTCCAACACTATGGAACCAGCTTCGCCACACGAACTCAGACAAACAGCATCCCGTGATTCCTTCAAATGTGTGCCTTTAAAAAATACTTCTCTTTAGAAAATACTACACTGACTAACATATCCTCAAAAAGATTCAACTATTTTATGTACAAATGTTCTTAATGTCTTGTAGCACTCCAATCATCTATATATGTAAAGCGCCTCTGAGCATACATTTTTGTATGGAATCCAGCTCGGTATAAATACACATATTATTATTATTATTAGGTGTTGGTTGAATCAAACTAATAGAATCTGATCTTCACTGAGAGTATAATCCCAAATATTACATGCATGTGTTACAGGGTCAGTCTAATCCATCCTCAAAAGACAAACCTTCGTTTTCCTTTCAATCGTATTTTTGCAATGATGACATTTTTTAAATCTCTTTTAACATTTGTGACATATACAAATACCTTTAACTACAGTATTAAATATGGGCAGGTTTCAGTTCCTGAAGCTAAAATCACCACAAACGCATTACCCCCGTCAATTCAACAGTTTCTAAAACTTGGGGTGCCCTGTTTGAGTAACATCGTTTCTAGTGCTAAAGCTACTTTAGGAACATTCTTTGAGGTTTGAACATATTTTTGTATAATTTTGTTTCTCTTCAACTAGAGCTACGCGTTAGGCTTCAATGAAATTAAGAGACTATCAATTCGGTCTAACATTCATCTAATTCTCCAAACACAGTACATTTATCTCCCAAGTAAACTCTACAAGCGTGCACACAAGTATCATGATGATAAATGTCGGGACAATACAACTCGAAGTTGCAGGCTCTTCGTTTGTAGATCAAGTGTTACCGATTTCGTGCCACTGCTTTTACTGAGTCAGTAGCAAGGCATTATGTTTATGCTGCCATGTATTTCAATTAATATGAACGTTTCCAGCGTTTTTTCTGTGTCAGGAAATGTTCTCTCGGATAGGCCTGACTAAGTCGTCTACAAACGTTAAATTCCCTATTTCATTGAATATTGTCAATAAGAAAATCTAGTAATGATTCCATCAGTACAAGACGACTAAAGAAATATTTTCAAAATCAGAATATTCACATATGATGAAACGGTGCATCAATACAATCTAATCCTGAAGCTAAGCGTCATGTATTGTGACTTCGCAAAATCCTGTCCCAGAAATCCAGTTTATATAAAACAAGAATCGAGAGCGTCAAATTTCGCCATAGCGGAGATACCGCGCCCATGCTCCATAACGGGCACGTTCCTGTCTCAATGGAGTTCATTATCACTGCGGAAAATCTGGTAACGATTTATCAGAAAATGACGAAAGATATGTTTCTTAAAACGTTTTCTGCCATATGACGTGGATCTGCATTCAACATTGGATCGTCCTCCCTGTCCGGACTTCAACAATGTGTCGTGTGGAAACATACTCCAACGAAGCATGTACATTTTCCCCATTACACGCCATATCTAGGATGCTGCCTAAAGCATCATTCATGCGTTGTTAGATCAGCCTCTATGATCAAACAAGTAAGAGTTAGAAGATAGCCTCAAATGTCCCCTAATACGTGCTGCAATCATTGATGTGAATTTTCCATCCTGACCTGTTGGATTATCCATAATGTTGCGTGTGAGGAGGTAATTTACAGCTTCCACACCTTCGCTTCCAACCACAGGCCAAAATGAAGGATGCCGGGTTATTATCTTCATCCAGTAGCGACAGATCAGCTCCCATTTCACAAGTCGTGTCAAACACATCATCACATTCATCTATGGCTGCTTCTGTAATACCGCGCCCGCCTCGCCCCATCCTCGACTACCGTCGAAGTCCATTATGTGCTGGGTAATGATACTGGATTATCTCAACATTTTCTCCCCTTCACAAAGACAAATGTGAAGGATAGTTCTTCGTTATAACATAATTTGTACAGATCTGCTCCATGCCTGTACCCAAGGATGCATGTCAAACACAATCCCATGACCATTATTAGCTGCATGCATTACTAGTGCTTCTCGCCGTATATATCCTGATTGTCGATGTCCCTTAATTATCTGTGCGCGGAGGACCGCTTGCTCACTTCTACATTTCCTCCCGCTCAGTTTACAATAAATGATAACACCTTATCAGTCATCATCCAATAAAGATACAGGTTGGCACCTTCCCTGGATGGGGCAGGTCAAAACACTTCTCTATGTCCCTCCTTTGCTGTGCATGCACCACAGGCTTCTATAAGTGTTGTCCTTCCCTATTGAGTTGAAATTTTCCTAAGTTTCATCAGACAAAATGTCTCTGACTCCTCGCCACCCAATCTACCATGATGCAGGCCTCTAAAGATGGGAGTGTTCAATCTAGTATACAATTTTGAGTCTGACTCCCACCTTGTCTGAAGGGAACACATGTAACATCAGCTTAGAGAAATTCAACGGATTTCAATATCCTAGAAAGTAATTGTGTGTGTAAAAAGGAATGGCCTGCTTTCCTATATGTCCCATACGGACTTTAACTCTTTACCTGGTCAAGGTTAATGTGCCTTGGTAGTATTTGTATATAGGTGAGATGTGAGGCCGATTTTTTAAATATATTGAAGAATCTACGTTATTCCCTAATGACTTGAAATTAATCAGATATCGGCTTAGGGAAATGCTGCATTTCTTGAAAAAATTCTCGTACCAACCGTAAACAAAATACATCAGATAAATATTTATGTGGGGTTCGAATCATATTTTGAAAAACTGTAATAGATCTTAAGTGCCAAGTTCTTTTTATTTTCTAAAAGTCACTGTGCTATTTAGACATAGATAATATGCATGCCATATATACAGTAGAGACAACTCATGACCCTCCCATGTTAAAAATTCCGGGTGAACATTTAGGTAGTGACAAACGTTGACAGGTCCATTAGTATAAATATATCTATTATTGTTCTGTCAATGTGTGGCCACAACTCATGAAACAACACAACAACAAATGAAAACCTTTAACGCCAACAATAAATCCAAACATGCACGCGCAATCCTCCAACAACCATGATTTTGTCCCAAATGCAGTATGATCATGTACTTATATCACTTTAATGCGCTGTTCTCCAAATGGTTTTATCATTAATGAACAAGGCACACAGGATTCTACTCCAGAATATCCTTCCTCGTCTTTCTGAGGAAGTTCAGTCATAGTTTGGGATGTTTCTCACATGATTGTGACATGTTAAGGATCTGCTTAATGCTAATGGTGGGCAATTCCCCAAGTGAACTTTGATCCGGGGAGGTTGGATCCTATTGTCGTTCCTCATGTTGACAATCACACTCTAGACTCAGAGAGTACATGGATGATGTAACGCCAGGACTTCACCTGTTCATCCTAAAGAACAACTCTTTATCCAAAACACTGCTGTGGAGTAATCGAAACCGCCAGCCATGAGTCTCTATGGTTGATGTATGACAAACAACTTTTATTATATATGATGCGACGTTTCTAAAAGGGATTCTATAACACCGTTGTCAAGCAAGAGGTATATAATAAAGCAAAGCTGTTATCCATAAATATTCTTACTTTCTTATTAGGTCACCAACTTCTAAACCAATCAAACAGATAGTCCTGCATCGAACCATTTACAAATATTTCGAATTTCATAGTTCATCGCGTGCAGTAAGGAGAGACCCTTGTACAGAACTTGAGGAGATCAAACAAGCATTACAGAAGGAAATGGCACGGAAGTACTCATGGTTGTTCCATAAACGTCTTGTGGTGGGTATGAAATCGAAGCGGTTGTGTCGTCATCCGTAAATGGGCGTTAAGCATTACTGACTCCAAACTCTTGTGAACACCCTATATTACCCTCGCGACAAACGCCATCATCTAATGTTAGCGATAAAACCTTATCAACGTCATAGTTTCATGCAGTATTCATTTTCATAAATTAACTCAATTGGGCTCGGCATTTCATTGCAATAAAGCCGTGAATTCGTTAATTCTGGTGCTTTAACAACATTTGTTCCTTTTGATATGTGTCCCATTTTGCACAGGTCCACTATATCATGATTACTGATTTATCATCACAGCCCCTGAATATCCTAAAAAGCACTTTGGGTGCCTAACCTTTTCTCTATGCATATATGTATCAAATACTATTCTCTATATAGTTTTAAACGATCTCGTTCAAACAACCCACCGAAAACGTCATTGTTTTCGTACCAAAGACGTAAGCGCCATAGATATAATGTGCTTTAACATCTGACGTATTAATGTTATTACAATGAACCATTCCACTTCTTCGCCACACCGTCTATTTATATATACCTGCAGTGGGCAATCCAAAAGGAAACGAAAATGCAATTAAGTAAGTCTCAGGATTTCCAACTGGCACTGATAAGTGCCCACTCAAAGAGTAAACTTCTTCGTATCAGAGAGTCAGCTTGATCTCTGCGGGTACTTGGAGCACAAACAAGCCTACATAGCAAATATAGTAAAGATATACAAAATACCTGATTTTGCACGAAGATAAATGATTCATTGTCTTAATCAGAGGATAAGCAAAATATTAATAACAGATGTAACAGTCGTTCTCTTTGGATCTTCAACAAATCATCATGCACTTGTAATGGCTATTTTGCCTGGCCTGCTTTTTTGTAAGCGTGGCGTTCAACTCTGAACATTGATACTAAACATATATGGTACGTCCAACGCTCTGTTCACTTTGCATCAAATGGTATAGTACTGGGCATGGAATCTCAAATTCCTGATCGTCTCTTAGCTGCAGAACGTCAATCCAAAATTATTTACTTCTGAAATACATAATAATTTTCACCTCTTCAAAACATACACACACAAAAAGATGAAGCCTTACTATAATACACTGGTGAAGATCCGGGTTAGAAATGATCTCACTCAAACCCAAGGTCTTACAGGCGACTAATGGGATCGGGTGTTCAGGCAGTTGTCTTTGGTTGACACATGTCAACAAAATCTACTAATTTGTATATTGATTGCGTAGATCGATAGTTCTCACTTTGATTGTTCATCCTCACTATTTCACTTTTATACAGACACCATTTAGCCGAATACTGTTTAGTGTATGGCGTTAAACCACAACCAACTCCAACAAACACAACGTAATATACCGTTAATATCGGTCACCCCTTCACCTTTTATTGAGAGGGGTGGGTGTGTGGGATGTGTATTATGGGAGGGGGACACAAACCATTATTGGTATTGAGTATATGTGACATTGTGGGCTGTATGTTACGCCTCTGCATGGTAATGGTCACGACATTCATATATGAAGGTATATATTGTCCTATAAACTGTCTGCGTACTTACAATATAATGCTTAGGTGAGTCAATATAGATAACTAGCTGCCAGTGTGTTTGGGGAGGTGACATTATTCCATTAGGTGACTAACTCCTGATTTTACCGATCACTAACCAGGAAGAAAGTATAAGCACACCAAACAATGCAGGAAGCTACACATACTTTATATATTCATTGCTCCTTCTTCATGCTAATGACATTAATATTGGATCTGACACTATGATTTGTCAAACATACTGCCTATGGGTATTATGACACCACAGATTATGATCGATCTAAACCAGTCTAATGTCAAAAGCTTCGGAGTCCAGTCAGTCAGTATTTGCAAACATGCCTTATTAGAACATTTGCAGCATATGTGGCACATATAAATGCTGTAAGTGCAGAATTAAAAATGATGGCAGGCTATTTGACAATATTTGTTTTAGTAAATTAATTTCATCAAACACCTCTTGAATTCACAAAAACATCTCTTTTACAACTTCTTGGAGCCTTATTTGAAAAGACGCTTCAAAATCAAAAAGTCACTAAAGCCTGTGTCTAAAGTTGTAAAGTAAACATTGCATCTATTTTAGTTCTGATGAAAAACACTGGCGCTGCTATTTACCATTAGCTCAAAAAGAATAGGTTTCATGAAAATCTCCACGTATAACCTTCATGTAGAAATTTGATACTTCGCTCGTGACAAAATTGACATTTAAATCTTTTGGCCGAAACACATTTTACATACTGACAACATCATAGATAAAGATCTAGATAAAGCAGAGTCAATTCACATCACCAGGAGTGTCCTTATGAATCCACAACGAGTGCCATCCATTTCAACAAAAGGATTCAGCATCCACTATATGAAGAATTAATGTATACCAAATAAGAGTGAGTGAGTAAAGATTTTAAGTCACATCGGCAATTACTCTGTACCATATCGTGACTAAACTAGTCTGCAACTCATGATAAATACATTTGTATAACCTTGTGAACAAAGAGTAAAGTAAAATTCACGGATTACTGGCTATCCAATCTAGATCAAGGAAAATCAAGGAAAATCAATCTCCCTGTATCTATAAAAATCCTAAAAACACATCGAAATTCTATCAATCAAGTCAGTTTCTTATTTAAAAAACAATAAATAGATCAGAACTGATACTTTTAAGGTTGAACTTAAAATATGTATACCCCCTTGTGGATCTAGCATTATGAACAGTCGTTGTGAGATACATTGACACACAATATTTAACGAACAACCCGTTTGACGTAGGGAAGTGTTGAAACCTACCAGAATATCAGGCCTAAAAAAGTTTAAGCAAACTGATGCATTAAAAGGTTAAGAGGGTGTAAAAGATCTTCTGATGTTTTAACTTTTAAAATATGACGGATAACCCTGGGTCACATATGGTCTTCATCTGGGTGTTATATCAAGTTAGTCATGAGGGAGAGTTATGATACTAAGGACGGTTTCACCCAGTTCCGTAAAGACATGAATCTACCTATATTAGCATTA